AAGAGACGAGTAAAGAAAGGAACCGAGATTGCAGATACATTCAAATGTGTTCCTTCTAATCTTCACAACAACCCTTGCCAGGTGGTTTTATTACCTCAGGAAAATGAGGCTCTGGTCATGCCTCACCCAAGAATGCAGCGTGAGTGGAATGAGTCGGGCTGAAGTCCATGTGTGTGAATCTCAGAGGCCTAAGTTCATTCTGTCATGTCCCACTGCATCCCTTAGTGAAGTGTGTGTGTGTGTGTGTGTGTGTGTGTGTGTGTGTTTGCTTGCAATATTCTCCCACTCTCCCTGCCCCCTGCCCTTGGAAAAAAAAAGGAAGGCTTTTCTTCCACTTAACAGCCAGACTGGACTGAGTGGGAGAATAAAAGGATAACTCTAAGGGTCAGAGGAAGCCTTCATCTTAACAGAAACTGAGGTCTCAAGTGCTTTCACTTTCTTATCTATAAACTTACAGTGTCTATATTCATTTCTTTCCCCCCTTCAGTTAAATTTCCTTCCATATTAAAGGAAGGCTCTTGACTTTGGGGTAATATGGCTGATTAGAAGCTTCCTCTGTATGACTTTCACAGACCATATCATGAAGAAAGAGAGGAGCATAGGGCCTCTGAAAAGCATGGAGAAGCAGAAAGGCTACCTAGAGAAGGTAGAAAACACCCTTGCCTATCGCTCTGGCTCTCTGGGCAGGGGCAGTAAGGACTGAATCAGTTTTGCATTATGAGACTGTTGTTAGCTTCTGAGGATCAGGGCAAAGTGCTATGGTTTGAGTCCAGAATTTTCTTCACAGGTTCTTGTGTCTGAACAGCTGATCTCCAACCTTTAGTTACTAGAAGTGGTCTTTAAGGGTGAGTCTCTACAGATGTGTAGTTCAGGTATGGTGATGGTCTAGCTTTTGTTGGTGCTTTCTTGTTTTGTTTTGTTTTTGAGACTGACTTCCATTCCATGTAAAGCTATGACTTTGACATTCTGGTCCTCTGCCTCGCAAGTGTTGAGATTATCACCAGCATTGATTACCACACCTACCTCAGATCGTTCTCACAGGAAGACATATAAGTGGTCAAAGAACAGATTTTTTTAAATGTTCGAACATTCTTAGTCATAAAGGAAATTCAAATAAAAACTGTGCTGCGATGTCTCATTTCAATCAGAACCATCATCAAGAAGACAAGAGTTGGGGTGGGAGAAGAACGTAGGAGAAAGAAAACCACATATTCTGACAGAAATGTAAACTAGCACAGTCACTATGGAACTCATCATGGAGGGTCCTCAGGAAACAAACTAGAATTATCATGATCTTCTTAAACCACTCATCGGTATATACTTGAAGGAGTAGAAGTTAGTATATAAAAGGGTGTCAGTGGTGGCAGCTCCACAGAGCCACCCTCACCAGCTCAAGGTGTTCTCCTAGACTTTTAAGAACCTCAACTTGGGCCAAATCGTGGTTTTGACACAGAAGAGAATTTCAAGACTAGCCAGAATAGATAGTGAAGCAGAGCCAAAACTTGTCCAGTGATAGTTTTAATATAGGCTTAAGCACTATGGCTGTGAGAAGGAGATGTGCTCATAAGAAATGATGCATGCCCAGATCTGGTGTGCACTTCCCACAAAAAAGAGTGGAAAGTAAGATGCTCCTGAGTGTATTCTCCTCAAGGGAGCAATGAGCAATTGTCTTACACACACACACACACACACACACACACACACACACCACTAGTGACTGGAGCTACATCTCAAAAGGTTATTAAGATCTCCTCCATTATTTCCTCCTTTGATAAAAGAGAGGTGGCTCCAGAGATGTGCTACAAAAAAACAAAACAAAACAAAAAACCAGAACTCACTAGGGCTGAAAGAGGGGCAGTGTACCATGTAACTTCCCTGCAGTAGGCTTTCAGGTGAGACTCCTAGAAAATCCACAGGATTATGGATGGGGAGGAGATGGCCTTAGGCAGTTGATAATTGTGCTAGAATTCCTGCATTTCGACTGGCAAAAGCTTGCACCAAGTTTCCAGTTGACAGGTTTCATTTTTATGGCTTTAATGACATGAAACCTTGGGGATGCCTACATACCAATGCCCGTTGCTTGACTGCACAAGATAGCCAGGTTATGCCATCAGTCTAGGTACACATTAAAGTATGAATGGATGAAAATGTGGCATATATACACATCGGAGTATTATTCAGCTATGAAGAAGAATGAATTATGACCTTTGCAGAAAAATGAATGACCTGGAGATAACTATATTAAGTAAAGTAACTAGACTTAGAAAAACAAGTACTGCATATTTCTCCCACATACAAAATCTAGCTTAAAACGAAACATGAAAGTAGAAACAGTAAAGTAGGGGGAAAGTGGGAGCTGTTACAATGGAGAGGGAGACAAGAGATAGAGTTTGTATATGTTGGAAAATGTCAAAATGAAACTCATGTTTATAAAATAATATATATTCCTAGTAAAACACAATTAAGCCCAAATTCCACTAAAGCTTGTTTTACCCACCTTCTTTTCCTCTCAGACTTTGTTTCTTCCATTCATTCTTTCTTGAGTTATAAACCTTTAATTTTTTCCCCTTTCCTATCTCTTTGCCAAGAACAAATGCTTTCTTGTCTTTCTCATAGAATCCACCACGCTAAACACAAATATCCCTTCAATTAGAGGCCACTGAACTAACTCCCCCTTCCCCCGCTGTTGTTCATCCTTCCCAGAGATGTAGATCTTACTTCTTCACATTCCACTAATTTCTAAATTAATTCTTGGTCCGTTTCCACCTCCATTTCCCTACAACCATTAACAACCTTTCTGACACTGGTCTAAGTGAAAGCCTATTAAAGCTTTCTAAATCCTCAGGCAGTGGCGGTCCATGCCTTTAATCTCAGCACTCAGGACAGAGGCAGGCAGATCTCTGAATTCGGGGCCAGCCTGGGCTACAGTGTTCCAGGACAGCCAAGGCTATATAAAGAAACTCTCTCTCTCAAAACAAACAAACAAATAAAGAAATAAAATAAAAACCCTAAATCTTTAGTACAAAGCACCTAGTAAATGGCTTTATCATCACAGTAGGAGTGCACTGGTCAACTGTTTCCATCCCCCACCAGAGGTCGTGTGGTATCCCCCAGAGGTTGTGTGGTATCCCCCAGCCATTTTTTCCTACTTTTTCCCTAAAGGAGGCATCATCCTGACTGCCCATGCTATAGGTTAGTTTTGAATTTTATGTAAATTGAAGCATATCTATTCTGGGTCTGGTAACTCTTGCTAAAAAATCATATTTGCACAGTATGGGCATTATATTGCATGCAACAGGGGCTTATTTGCTTTTAATGCTGCATAAGACACAATTGTATACTTTTGCTGTGATTCGCCCATTTTTTTTTTTTTGTTGTTGTTAATGAACGTTTGAGGTTGTTTCCACATTATGTTCTGGCTGCTTCAAATGTAGATTTTACTTCCTCACATTCTCCGAGCAAATACAGTTCCCATTAATCTTCTTGTCCATGTCTTCTTGGTGCACATATATTCTTAATCGTCTGCTTATAAAGGAAGAAAACACCGTTTGGCCCAGTTAAGACAGAATAACGTCAATAAATTGTACAAGGTTTTCATAAGCAGCTCCTTTTTTGTGAGAGATTTTTTAAGCTGTGGGTCTCATAAGAGAAGGAATTTGGGGACAGCCATGTCCTTTCATGTTTTCTCATGGAAGGATCCGAGGGATAGGAAACAGAAATAAACTCTAGAATTAAGTGCAAGTTGCTTGCTCCCAGAATAAAGGCAACTCAAAGACCCTCTGCCCAGAGTAGTCAATTTAATGCCAAGGCTGGCTGTCCAGTTCCTTCTGAACTAAAGAGCTGAGGAATGTGGAGTCACCCGGGGTCAAGAAATGGAGAGACTGAAGAGGACTGTGGACCCCAGACTTTTTTTTTCTTTTTTTCTTTTTTTTTTTTTTTGATCTTCATTTCCTTTTGCCCTTTATTCCTGAAATCAAGGTTAGAAAGACCATGGTGGACACAGAGAGTTCAAGCTGACTCTGCCTGTCCCTCTCTTACAGATACCTGTACTATCCTGGAAGGAGAGAGGATGCACCTCTGAAACCACAGGGGGTGCTTATCACAGGAACCTGGTTAAGTCTGGGCCTATCTAGAAGTCATCGGAGGTGAGGAGAGAAAGAAAGGCAGGGCTGCAGCTGTGTTGGCCTCAGAAGAGTAGTGGAAATAGTTACAATGTTGACAATAGGCATCCTTTACATTTGTATCACAGAACAGTTTTCTAAAGGTTTCCTAATCCTAGACAGTCAAGATCTGATCTTCACACGGCAACGAGGCTCCCAGTATCCTCCTTTTTTTTTTTGTGCTTCTTTTTTTTCCGTTTCTTTATTTATTAAAGATTTCTGTCTCTTCCCTGCCACCGCCTCCAATTTCCCTCCCCCTCCCCTAACCAAGTCCCCCTCCATCGTCAGCCCAAAGAGCGATCAGGGTTCCCTGCCCTGTGAGAAGTCCAAGGACCACCCACCTCTGATCTGTGGACGAGCAACGTCGAATGGTCGAATGGAAGGTGGAGTCCTTACCTTAATCCACCTCTCCAGTCCCTTCTCTAGGAAGAGATGACAAAGAAAGAGAACTGGAGGTAGCCAGCTCCTACAAGATTTGCAAAGACAGACATTTAGCTGGAAGGGAGTAAGGTCTGAGAGTTCTTTACCTTCTCTGGTTAGTTTGGAAACAACTGGGAGGTGCATCTCCCAGTCCTTGCACTGGAGGTAGGGGTCTCTTCAGACACCTCTCATTGTGTTTTTGAAAGTGGAGTTTCACAGAGGGTTGCAGTGTGGTGGCACCGCCCCTCCCGGACTCGCTGTCTAGCGCCCTCTGTCACCCCAGACCTTGACGCGCAGTGGGGTAGGGTGGGGACCAGGGAAGCGCGGCCAGGCCAGGTGCACCAGGCGCTGGGCAGGAGCCCGGAAGGTGCGCTGCCCCGCCCCAGTGCCCCCCCTCCCCGCGCCTCCCGCGTGAAAGTGAAAGTTCCAGGGGGCCCCAGCGCAGGTCAAGGATTGGGGGGCGGGGCCGGTGCGGACGTGGGAGCCGGCGCCGGGCACTGGAGGGGCCATGGATGGGCTCGGCCGCCGCCTCCGAGCCAGCCTGAGACTGAAGCGCGGCCGCGGGGGTTAGTGCGGGTCACAGCGCGAGGGGAAGAGGGCGTGGGGACCTGGGCGCCAGGACTGTATACTCAGTGCGGCACCGGGGGACAAGATCGAGGAGCAGTTTGGGCGGGATCTGGGAGGGCTGGGCAGGAGGCAGGTGAACTCAAGAGAGCAGGTAGAGATCAGCGAGTGGACAGACCTGTTGGGCTGAGGGGGAGCGGGTGACTAGGAACCTGCAAGGGTTGTGGGGCTCTGGGTTGCTGGCCACGTGTCCTTCCATCCAGGAAGCTTGTAGAGCTTTATGGCTAGAGTTTGGGCTGCCAAGCCCTCCAGGAGACGCTTAGCTTCCCTTCTTAGCTAGCTGCCTAGGACTGGATTGGCGGTTGTTCAGTTCCTGGGAGCCAGCTTGTCCTTGCTGATAACTGCGCCACAAAAACTGGCTCTTCAAGACCTTAGGACTGGCCAAGGCGCGGGGTCTGGGGGAGGTGGAGGGAGGTAGAGAATAGGTACTGTCAGCCCAGCTGTTTTCTCAACCCTGACCTTGAGTTCTGACCAGTGAGGTGGGAAGCGTTTCCCTGTTCAGGGTGTATGGAAGGGATGAAATGACAAGATCTTGTCACGTTTCCTTTCTACGTATCTGGTGCCTTGGGGTTTGGAAGAAGGGCAATTAGGATTCATTAATGTATCCATTCATTCAACAAGCATCTGTTGTTTATGGCTGGCCAGTGCTATCCTTGAGCTGCCACCCCTGAGTTGGTTCAGAGCCCGTGGTTCTGAATAGAGGCCTGAAGGATTTGTAGGGGTCATCCCGAGAGTTCACCCCTTCCAGTATTTGCAAGTGGTCTGTGGACCCCTTTCGTAATAGGCCCCGGTACTTGAGGTCAGTACTTCCTTCTCGGATCTGCAGTGACTTGTGACTGATCTGCTCTTTGTCCTTTCTCACTTCTGCCACCCTCACATCTGCTCCAGCTGTGGTTGTTTTGGCACATGCCTCTCTTCTCTGCATGCAGGGGAGGGGTCTGCAATTGCTGGAGCAGTATTGGGGGAAAAAATGTGACTTTTTTTTTTTTTTTAAATTTTCCTGCGGAGTTCTGGCTTGGTTTTCTTGGGCTTCCTAGACCCGGGTAATCTTCTGCCACCCGACCCTTACAGCAGCATAAAGGTAGCAGTGGTGGTGGTGGTGGGGGGGGGGGGGGGCTTGTGGTTGAAGAACAGGAAGACAGGCCCATCTATATGTGCCTGTTCACAAGTTTAGCACCTGTCAGATCATATGGGTGTGACTTTTTCAACTTTCTTGTTATCCTTCTACTTCCTGGGGGATTTCCCCTTCTGGCTCAAGCAGTTGTTTCTCAGAGGGCTGTCTGTGGGTGGGTGCCTGCGTGCTTGAGTGCGTGAGTGCGTGCGTGCCTGCGTAAAACAATAGTGGGGAAGACTGCTGTGGTGGTTCTGGGTTGCTAGCAGCTAGCAGCTCGCCAAAGAACAAACAACAGCCTTTCAGATCAAGGTTCCCCAAAGTCCCCTTTCCTTCAGGTGGTTGTGGGAGGGGCTTTCTGGTGGAGGAACTAGTGTAACCCGACTCTTGACTTCCTTAGAGGGTGGCTCCTTTCTCAATTAAAAATGAGGATAAGAATTCATTCCGGCGCATGAGGGATTAAGTGAGATGCGTTATATTATGCAGGAGTTTGATGCAAATTAGTTCTTCTCATGCTTTTCTGTGACAAACGCTTTTGAAAGAGGGAGAAGGAGAAAACACTCTTTTATCGACTCTCTTGAGCCTCAGCCTAAAAAGTCTAGTTACTTTTCTTTGGTCTAGGATCTCTGCCTTTGCTGTTGCCTACTTTCTCCTGATAAAGCAGGAGGAAATGGCGTGAAAATGCTGCCCCAAGGACTTAGGAAAAGACTTACTTCCTGAGGTTCTGGGATGATCAGGAAGATGATTCTGGCTGTCCAAGCCATCATTTGATTACTGCTCCCCTTCCAACACACACACACACACACACACACACACACACACACACACACACACACACCATGTGAGGTTGACTGTGTAATACACCAGAAGGCCTGAGCTTGGATTTGGAACCCTTGTAATTCTCATCTTCTACAGATCCTGTTCATTTTAAATTACCCAAGTTACTTAATTCCTCAGTTTTCCCTTCTGGTTCAGGCAGGTGCTTGTTCCTTCAGACACCCTGTAAAGATTATGTAACATGTCTATACAGAGTACAGGAAAGACACGTGACTGCCTGGGGTGTCCTGGTTTATCCCTCACACTGTTCCAGCTCTCATCCTATTTACAATGATTGGGGCTTCTCCAACAAGTCAACTTTGGACCTCCGAGTCCCCACTTTTCCTGGTGCCATGAAAGACCAGTTTTAGAGCTCTTAGGAGCAGAGGGACAGCCTTCCTACCACAGCAACCCACTCCCTCCCAGAGGATTGCTAATTCTTTGCAGGAGTGGCAGACATAGGCACCAGATCACTTTGCTTCCTCCCTCCCCATTAAGCAACTTCCTGGCAGGGGCTCTTTCCTCTTATCCCATGCATTTCCTTGTTCAGGACTTTCTGTGAGAAACCTGGGTTATCAATAGCTCCTTTCCCCCTTCCTCAGCCTTTAGACACAACACTGGGTCTGCAGTTTAGGATGTTGACCTGGCCCAGTCAGGGGAAAGACTGAGCAGGAGTCCAGGAGGGGTGAGGATGCACTTATATCCACATTGTTGCTGATGAAACCAGTCCCCTGCTCTAGGCTAGGGACAATGTCCTGAGTCAGTGCTTCCTTGAGAAAGAAGGAATCTGCTAGAGTCTTGGAATAGTCCCAATGAAAAAGTTCCCTGTCTTAGACTAGAACATGTTACAGGGAGTTAGGGGCTTACCTTTGTAGTTATTCCGTCAATATCAGGAACTTCTCAGAGGTGGGCTTTGTTCTTTCCTTCGCCGTCAGGAGCGAATCCATGGGGTCTGTTGAGAGACTCGCTCTCTTGCTAGAAATTACTTTTAGAGATCTGGATAAGATTACTTATCTGATTCAGGGTAAGGCAGTGGCATCTTGGTTGCAGGAAGTGTTCAGTCCTGTGTTCTTGGTTGAGATCCTGAAGGCCTGTTTCAGAATTCGTCAGTTGGCTTGGTGGGACTTTGCAGTTTCTGATGAGCAACTTGAGAAAGCAATTTGAGAGAATAACCAAAGATATGGGATGTAAAGTACCTATGCTGAGATCAAAGAGGGGCTGGAGTCCATGATCTGGTTTTTCCAGGCATCCCTCACTGCCTAAGGTAGTAAAGACTCACCACATGGTCTGCGGCACCGGAATTTAAAGCTCTTAGTCCAGAAGCAGCTGTGCCTTGAGATGTTTGCTCATGACCTTTTCTCTTACCACACCCTGGGGCTCCTGGGAGGAGCCAAGAGCTGAGCTGTAGTGCCAGGATGCTGCCTCTGTCAGTGCCCATGTTAAGCTGCATCGTGGGTCCTTTCACATCCTTCTTGCTCAACTACGGAGTACACAGGATGGAAACTGCTCTCTGCCTTTGGGAGACAGCGCATGGTTCGGCTTAGTAAAGCTGTAATTGGAGAACAAAGCAGAAGGCTCTTTCTCAGGCTCCCTGTGGCCAGCCTGCAGGAGAAAGAACTTCCATGCCCTCCAAGCCCAGAGCGATGGAAGGACAAGGGGTAGGCCGAACCCTCAGGCTGCTCCGAAATCGCTTGCCACGACTTCGAGCAGGTCAGAACTGGATTGCCTACTTCCTTTTTGGGGTGATCCTCTTATGGGCTGTTTCCTCCTGGAGTGCTCCTCCTTCTTTTCCCTTTGCATGCCAAAATCCACATGGCCCCCATGTGATCGGACCAAGAGGATTACCTTATCAGTTTGCAGAGCTAGTCATGTCTCCTGTGCAGCTCTTGGTATGGCCAAAAGAAAATGCCCTAGGGGCTCATCTGATTATTTAGAACAAATTTCCCCAGGGTGTTTGAAATGCTACCAGAGCTGCTATGGTAGGCAGAAGTACAGTTTCAGTCATCAGGCCTCCAAGAACCTACACAACATGGCTCCTCAGTTTCTACAGCAGTGTTTTCTTTGCCTCCCAGTGTCACTCCACAGTTTCAGGTTTTCCAGGACAGGTGTGGAAACTGCCCACTTGGCTCTGGTCCCACCCAGGGACTGGTGGTGCCTGGTCAGGCTTGGGTATCAGCACTGGCAACGTGGCCTTGAGGCATGCAGGTTGCCCAGGTTCTCACACACTGTACAGAATGGAGGAATGGAATACTCAGGGGGCCCCTGCATTTCCGTTTTAGGACCTTCTCAGAACAATACTGGGGAAGCTGCCACAGAACCAGAGAGGACCCAGGAACATTCCCTGTCCAACTTTGCTGGAGGCCAGCACTTCTTTGAATACCTTCTTGTTGTTTCTTTAAAGAAAAAGCGTTCAGGGGATGACTATGAACCCACGATCACCTACCAGTTTCCCAAGGTAAGGACGGAGGAGAGGTGGGGCCTGAGGGCAGAGGTAGGGAAAGAGAAGGGTGTTTAAAAGGTGGTGAAGTTCTGCTCCCTACCACCCTGCCAGCTTTGGAGCTCTGAGCTCACTGCTCTCATTTCCTTTGTGGCCCAGCCCTAGCTTTCTGGTATCACCCCGAGAATCTAGGTCTGTCTGCAGTGACTGACTGACTAAACTTCTGGAGCAGGGAAATGAGCCCCGTGCTCTCACCCTCTGGGAATCGCCTCGTTTTTCCGAATTCCACCTCAGTCACCTTTTCTGACAGAAAAGCTCGGCTTCAGCAGGGATGCCTAAGGAGGCATGCCCTTCCTGCTGTGTGGTGGAGAATCAGGCAGACCCAAGACACAAACACAGGCTAAGATCAGACTCCCGGAGCTTAGAGCCCCCCTTGTGTGGTGGTGCACTGGGTGAGGGCAGTGCAGCATTCTCTTCGACCCCCTCTTGTTAGCAGCTCTGGAGAGGTTGTTTCTTTTCTTTGATGTGGTATCTCTCTGATGTCATCCTCTCAGGGTTCAGATGACCTGTCTAACCTCCTTTTTGAATATGTAAAATTCCTCAGGATAGTGAATTCTAATCCCAGGTTATATTGATGTGGCCTAGAACAAATTTTCTCTTAGGGGTCATTCCAGCTAGAACTAGAATGCAGACTATGTCAAAGGCACCTTTGTACTCCATACTAACAGGAAAGAAGGCTAATAGCCTTCTGGCCCCTGCCTCCCTGCCTAACTTTCCTTGCCTTTTCCTTCCAGAGGGAGAACCTGCTCCGGGGTCAACAGGAGGAGGAAGAACGGCTGCTCAAAGCCATTCCTTTATTCTGCTTCCCCGATGGGAATGAGTGGGCACCCCTCACAGACTATCCCAGGTAACCACTCAGCCTGGGGACAAGGGTATCAGATATGGATGGGAGGTCAAATGTGTGGCCCTTGTGTTCCCCCCATCACTGAGAGTGTGCTGAGTTTTTACCATGGAAATTTTTGCCTAAGGTCCTTTAGGCCAAAGATCTTAGCTGTGACTTGACCTCTATCCAAAGATGCTTGAGAGCCTCTATCCTGTCCTTCAAGAAACAGTCACTCTTTTTTTTTTTTTTTTGACTCTGCCACTGGCAGAAGGTAGACAAGAAAGAAAGCTTTTGGACTCTAACAAGACAATATCAAGAAGCTTCTTACATCATGAACACTGGAAGTCCACGATGACTTCAAATTTTAGCTAAAAAATGCCTTCTCTGAGTCTTGCTTACTTTGTCTTTAAAGTGGTAATACTAATCGAACCTCCTTCAGAAAGGTTATTTGAGTCTCAAATGAGGTGATCATTTGGGCTTGGCACCACTGCGTGCTTAATAAGTGACTGAGGTGATCACCCTCGTGATTAATCAGCAACGCCCCTTGGTCCTCCTCTTCACTTCTCTGATGCTGACTTTAATCTTGTTTTAGAAATCTCATGAGCAAATGCACAACATTGGTTTGCTCTCTCTTAGGGAGACCTTCTCATTTGTCCTGACCAACGTGGATGGAAGCAGGAAGATTGGATACTGCAGGCGCCTCCTGGTCGGTGCTATTCAGAACCTCAGAACCGCTCCTTCCTCTCTGCAGACTGTTTAGCTCCACAGCAGGGCTTGCCAAAGCCGCTCCTACAAAGGCTCAGGCGCAGTGGCAGTGGTGGTTCTAGGGAGAGTACATCTCTGCACATGCTGCCATGTTAGTAACCCCACAAGAACAAGGACACACTGTCCCTCCCCTCCTCTGCCACTAGGCTACCGTCTGGGCTCTCCTGGCTCAGTGAGATGCTCCAGCAGAACCCTCTTATAGTCTTTTCTATGCAGGCCTGCTTGCCTTGTTCCCTGGAGCCTCCCTGACAGTCTGAGATTTGAACAAGGTTTAATTCTTGGCTTTCAGAGCAAGGATTCGCTAGACAGCTTTCCAATGCTTTCCTCTCTAGACATTTCCTCATGGCTAAGACACACTAGTTTTTGTTCTCACTGACCTTCAGCTCATGTTAGTCATGAGTCAGTAGTGTTTACCTTTGGGTTTCTGGCCCCCAAAGGCTGCCACTCACACCTCCTTCCTCCTTTTCTTCCTTCTCTTCTCTTATTAGCATGTAGCCGTTATATATAAAAGAACAGATATTATGGTATTTTCTTATGTATAATCCATGTACTTGAACTATACATACTTGCTATGCCCATCACACCAGTTCCCCTGCTCTTTCCAAATAATCTCATTTCTAATTTTATGATCTTCATCCTTTTTCTTTATTTTTATTTAAGTGTGTGAGTGTTTGACTGGATGCACATAAGTGCACTGTGTGCTTGCCTGCTGCTCCTGAAGGACTGAAGAGGGAGCTAGGTCCTCTGGAGTTACAAATGGTTGTGAGCTACCATGTAGCTGGGAACCAAACCTAGGTCATCTGCAAGAGCACCAAACTCTTTTAATCATGGATCTGTCTCTTTGGCTCTCCTGTCTCTCTCTTTTTAAAAGAATATATATATATATACATATATATATGTGTGTGTGTGTGTGTGTGTGTGTGTGTGTGTGTGTATGTGTATGCCTACGTGGGATGTGTGCATATGTACATGTCTGTGTGTGAGCTATGCACAAATGTGTATGGGTGTCTTATGAGGCCAGAAGATGAAGGGGCATCCCCTGAGCTGGAGTCAAAGGTGGCTGTGAGCCATCCGCTGTCAGTGCTGGGCATTGAATTTGGAGTCAGTGCTGGGTATTGAGTTTGGATCTTCTGGAAGACTACTGTGTGCTCTTTAACCACTGAGATACATCTGTAGCTCCTCATGTCTTTTATTTATGTCTTCTTTTTCTAAAATCCAAATCTTGCATATGAAATAGAAAGCATGTATTTGTCTTTCTGTGCCTGGTTTCTTTGGCTTTAGAGAATAATTGCCAGCTACATCCATTTTCCTCAAAAAGTCATAATTTTGTTTTTCTTATTATATGACTAATACTCCACGTTGTTTATATGACACATTATTGTTACCTTTTCATTTGTTGAGAGGCACTTAGGCTGGTTGCATAATGTGGCTTTGTAAATAGCAATCATCATCTTTTGACTTTGGTGACTATTTTGACCCTGGGTCTGTTCCATGAAGAGAACCTCTGCACAGGCTCTTCTCCATCTAACCACTGGCCCCCATCCACAGCACTCCACCTTTTGCCCCATCAGTCCCATGTGGGGGAAACCCTTGTGGAAACTGTAGCCCTGAAGGAAACTCTTGTTCCTCCCCAGCCTGCCGGTCCTGGCCCTCGCCTTCCCAAAGTATACTGCATCATCAGTTGCATCGGCTGCTTCGGCCTGTTCTCCAAGGTAAGGTTAGGACAAGATTCCTTGGAGCCTGTTAGGCAGGCCTGTTCGGCTTTCTGGCTCTGCCTGGCTGCTTGCCTTGCAACTTGAGCCCTTAGTAGAATGTCTTCCTGATAGCCCAGCCAGTATCAAGAATATTGGGTAAAACTGAGACAGGAGGGACCGGAGCTTAACCCTATTTAAAGGAAATCTAGGAGACGGTTTCCCCTGCAGAGAGAACTGTTGTCTGTTATTCTGTCTTCCTGGTGGGTATGAGGCTCAGATGAGGTATAACATGAGAAAATCCATCAAAAAAATAAAAAAAATAAATAAAAAGGAGGGTACCACGAAAGTCTAAAGGCAAAAACACAGTGAGGATCTCTAGATTTACCCTGACTTTGATGAAGCTGGAAGAGAAATTAAGGACTTGTGTTGCTGGGGACAGAATCAAGGCAGAACTGATTCTGTCCATGGACTGTCTTGGTGGCCAGAAGGACTGGCTGTGGGAGAGGAACTTAATGGTATTCTGCTTGGGTGGATCTTCTGTGAATCACACTGAAGGCTGGTGGCAGCTTCACCCTGATGACAGTCCAGAGGAAATGGGACAGTGAGGCCCAGAAGGTTAGGCTTCTAGACTGCTACTCCAGCCAGTGCTAACATGGAAGATGACTTGCTAGGCTTGGTACTTTCACGTCGGTGCTAGGAGAAGAAAGGAATATGAAATCAAAAGAAATCTTGGGGGTGTAGGTTTTGTCCATGAGATGGAAGCCAGTTGGTGGAGGGGTCTAGAAAATACCAGAGTAGAAGCAGAAGCAGTGTGAGAGCCTTAGGGCATTCAGTAGAATCCCTTTAAGCCTTGCTTCCTGTGGTCCTTTCCCTGCAGATACTAGATGAAGTAGAGAAGAGACACCAGATCTCCATGGCTGTCATCTACCCATTCATGCAAGGTCTCCGAGAGGCAGCCTTCCCCGCACCCGGAAAGACTGTCACCCTTAAGAGTTTCATCCCTGACTCAGGCACAGAGGTAGGCTGACAAGTGTGTGACTGGCTGGAGAGGGTGGACATCTGTGGGACTGCCCAACGCTCTTATTTCATTCACCTGGCTAACGTATAGGGAAGCTGAGCCTGGCATTATGATTTTTGGCAGAGCTAAAATGTCAGCCCAATGTGCTGCACCTTCTAACCTGATGTCCACCAGCAGTTACTTAGCCTATTGAGTTTTGTCTGTGATCATGTATGGGGCTTAGTTTGTCTGTAGTCTCCAAACTCCCAGTTGCTCTTACGCCTTACTCCTATTCTCTCCGTGTGCGTGTCCTGTATCTCTACCCTACAGTCTCCATCTGTTTTACTTCTTATCACTCATCCCCACCCGTACGTCCACACCCATGTCATGAGGTACAGTTGTTCCGAGTCACTAAAGAACTAGAGGCCCAACTGGAATTCCAGTCAGGATCGCGGGGACTATGGAAATTCCACGTGTACCTCTGAACCTGGTCATTCTTACAGAAGAATCGGGGAGTCACTAGGAAGAATAAGTATTGAAGGGGAAACAAGAACTGAGGTGTTCTGTTTCTAAATGTGCATTTTCTGGATGCTGAGTGAAAGGAATGAGGCTCCTGACCTCGCGGAGCTAAGTCTCATGGAGAAGGCACATAAGTCAATGTGTAAATGAGTGAATGGTGTGTACACATTCCAGAGAACGTGAGAGCCAAGAGAACCAGAGGAAGATTAGGCAATCACACTGAAAGAGAAAGCAGTGTGTAGCATGAGAAAAAGGTGAGGAGGTCTTAAGATGACCAAGAATGAAGCGAGGAGATCAGTATATGGGAGGCCTGACCCATGCCAGGCTTAGGCAGGAGAGGAGCTCTGCCCCAGAACATGAGGATTGTGGAGATGGGGATGTATCCCAGGCTGGACCCCATGAGCCATCCACATGGTGAGGCATGTGGTGATGGGGATGTATCCCAGGCTGGACCTCATGGGCCATTCACATGGTAAGGATTGTGGAGATGGGGATGTGTCCCAGGCTGGACCTCATGGGCCATGCATACGGTGAGGCATGTGGAGATGGGCATGTGTCCCAGGCTGGACCTCATGGGCCATTCACATGGTAAGGATTGTGGAGATGGGCATGTGTCCCAGGCTGGACCTCATGGGCCATGCACACGGTGAGGCATGTGAAGATGGGGATGTGTACCAGGCTGGACCCCATGAGCCATCCACACAATGAGGCATGTGGAGATGGGGATGTATCCCAGGCTGGACCTCATGGGCCATACTGAAGATTCCACCTAGCTGTCCTCAGGGCAGAAGGAAGCCACTGCTGGGTGAGCCAGGATCAGATCTGTCCTGTAGGAGGAATGGGATAGGCCTGTTTAGGTCTGTGGTTTTGTATTGCTGAGGCCTCTCTCTCTGGTCGTCCCACAGTTCATCTCACTGACACGGCCCCTGGACTCCCACCTAGAGCATGTGGACTTTAGTGCTCTGTTGAACTGTCTGCAGTTTGAGCAGATTATTCAGATCTTTGCCTCTGCAGTCCTGGAAAGAAAAATCATCTTCCTGGCAGAAGGTCTCAGGTAAGCTCAGCCGCTGGCTGGCCACACTAATCTGCACCCCCGATTCAAGGGACATTACTGGGGCTTCTTAAAGGCAGTCTGACTATAGAGCCCATGTGTGCACCTTCCAGCTTTGAGTTCCTGGATCTGCATTTTAGGCCTAGAGAAACAGGTAGTGCGACTTGTCTGGTCATCTCCAAACCTGATTGCCGCCTGACTAGAATCTAAGAAGGACATGGAGTGTTCCTGGTACAGTACAGGTGGGGCCAGCTAGGGTGAATGCAGACATGATTCTGCACTTATGCAAGGCCAGGCTGAGGGAGGGAAGAGGGTGGGGAAGAGGACAGGAAGCTGTATAATGGCATGGCGGATAAGCTCATCTCCACACTTATGAACTCACTGAACAAATATTTATTGCATGTCAGCTGTTTGCCAGATGCCAGGCATTGGGGAGATAGCAAGAAGACTCTGTGTTTGCTCTGAAGGAGATGAGGGGTTATGTATTGGCTTTAAGCATAGGTATTGAAACCAGCAGAATGACTTTCAAATCTTGTTCTTCCACTTTTAGCTATAGTTCTGCTTAGGTCAGCTTCTTACTTCTTGAAGTAAAAATCTGCTTATCTGTAGGATGAAATTGATTGGATTTGCTTTATATGGTTGTGATGAGGAGGATTAAAGGTGATGATGCACAGTTGTAGACACCCAGGGCACCGGCAGATGCAGATTGGTGAGGACGACCTGCTACGCTCAGTCAGTTCACAGTTGAGTATAAACCTGTATGTAGAAGCAGGAAGCTACCACCTTTGAGGGAATTCAATCTGAAAAGGATGTAGGAACACCTGGGTCAGGCAGAGGGAAAAAAACTCATAAAAAGAGTAGGGATTACTCTGTAGCCCTAGCTGTCTTGGAACTTACAGAGATCTGCCTGTCTCTACCTACTGAGTGCTGGGATTCAAGGTGTGTGTCATCACAGCAAGAAGCAATAATTTTGATCTGTCCTTTGATCTATCTATAATTTTGGTACTATCCGTTGGGGAAGAAGGAAAAGAAGTTGAGGACACTAGAGAGGATCAAGGGATGTCACGAGTTCAAGAAAAAAGGAATCTTGGCAGGTGTCAGGGGGTCTGTGTGTTGAACATAGTAACGTCAACAATAGTGAAAAAGGAAAATATCATAGGCTAATTCTTGTGGAAAGGGTCATGATTTTTGTTTCAGAGGAGGCTCTGCTGCTCCAGTCCAGTGTGGAAGAAGTTTTTGTGGCAGCTGGGGCTCAGGCTCCAACTAAGTTCTTTCTCTATTGATAAGTGTTTGGGGTGTGAAGAGGCTGCTCATATACCTCTCAAGAATGAACTTTCTCCAGGAAATGTTAACACTTCCTACTTTCTTTCCACATGGAATTTTCAGTAACTGGAGGCTGGTGCAGGGAGGGGACTTCCAGCTCGCCAAGTTTTTTTAGCTAGGCACTCAGAGACTTGGTCTTTCAAACTCAGGAAGTGCTAGCTTGATACCAAGGTTTCCGCATCTGTGTTTTTATTGGCCTTAGATGTGGGGCGATTTGGCTGGAGAAAGGAAAAGCCATGAGAGCTAGTGGAGAATAGGGAATCCAGAGATGGGCTGTGTATGGTGAGGGCAAGGAAAGAGGTCGAGTTGTGACTTGGAGAGTCATGCCATTAGGAATCCGTGTAGCAAAGTCTCCAAGAGTCACCTCTGTGGGACTTTCCGGAATTTCTGAGTAGTGGTTCCTGGAACCCAGGAATTTCCCAAACTAACTCGGGCACCAACCTGAGAGCTTTCAGTAACCTCAGATGGCTACAGGGAGCCTTAGGGGTACATGGCTGTGGATGATACTTCTGCCTCTTCACCAAAGCCTGGTGTCAGCTGGCTTGTTTCTTCACTGTGCTGTGAGTTCTTCAAAGAAGGGCAAGTGCTATTCTTCTAGTTATCCCTGTCCATTGCAGAGTAGAGGCTCGCTCATAGCCTGCTTAAATGAAGACATGTCTTCTGAGCCACTCTTATTTTTAGTCAGTAAAGACTTGGAAGAACTAGCTGGGAATAGAGATTAAAGGGGGCCCCGCCCTGGTAGTAGGGCCTCGCCTCTCCTGATTTCTACCCTTCTCTTAGCAACAAGTAGCTACAAGCTCTATGATCTCCATGGCTTCCAGACTTGATTTTTTTTTTTTTTTTTTTTACCCAGCGTAGGAATATTTCCAGTAGCTTCTGTAGGCGTGGGGCTCTGAGTCAGTGCATAGGAACAGAGAAGCCTCGCTGACCCATTCTTTCTTCTGTGTTCCAGTACCCTGTCTCAGTGTATCCATGCTGCAGCGGCTCTGCTCTACCCCTTTAGTTGGGCACACACGTACATCCCTGTGGTCCCCGAGAGCCTTCTGGCCACTGTCTGCTGCCCCACCCCCTTCATGGTTGGGGTACAGATGCGCTTCCTACAGGAGGTTATGGACAGTCCCATGGAAGAGGTAAGCTGCATTGAAGAGAGCGCACGGTTTATAGCCTGGCAGGCTTTGATTTGTATCCTAAGTCTGCTGCCAACAACTGTGTGATTTGGGACCTATCACTTAACCCCTTTAAACCTGAATTTATCAGCAAACTGGGGATGGCTGTCTTCAGTTGCTAGAGACTGAGGAAAATGACATGGCTATACTACTAGCTGGGCACCTAATACTCAGCCCATGTCCAGTGAATGTTGGTTCTCTTCGTTTGAGTGACTCCTTTTTGGATTTAGGAAGCAAGATGCTGCTTATTCTGAGCTCATGGGACGATCCTATTAGCTCATTCTCCATACTGAGCAGTCATGTGAGTGATCTCTCAGTGAAATGAATGATCACAGCTGGCTTGTGCAAAGCACACCCCCTCTGGAATTCAAATTCCTTGGAAACAAGCCCTTTTGTAAACTGTTAAGTCTTGAAGATGAAGAGATGTGAACAAGTACCATCTTTATGAGTAGCCCAGAGCTCAGTGGGTAACGATGATATAGAATCAAATCCGCCTTGAGTTTGTTTCTTGGTAATGACCCTGACACAGAAGAGAGTTCAACTGTGTAAGTGGACAAAAGTAAGATGATCACATACATCTACCCCCAAAGGCGGACAAACAACTTGAAACATGTGCTTTGATCTAAAGACTGTAGTATCATCGCTATAGCTGAATACAGGACTGCTTGGGAATGTCAGCCCAGATTAACCATTAACTCACTGTGCAGAGGCAGAGTTACCTTTTGAAGCATCCTGATGCAAGCACTAAAGAGGCCCGGAGGTAGTCCTAGTGGGAGGATTTCCCCTTTGCATAAGAGGTTGGTGAATCCAGCAAGTCTACTGTGCAGATGGGGCGGCAGTGGAACTCAAAGAAAGGCCAAAGCCCTGCTTTAGAAGGTACTCCTGGGAGGGAGAGAAGTAGGCTGTTGCCTTTTGTTTCTCCAGCTCTTGTGCTGAGTACACATGCCCTGTGAACAACCCTTAGCCTTATGAGTAACTGGAGCAGGGTATCAGCCCCACTTTAGCAATAAAACCTAAAATGTCTCAACCCCAGAAGTTACGTAACTTCCCTCCTCTGAAACTGAGGCTCCTCCCAACAGTCAGGCAGGAAGACAAACGAAGGCCAGTAGAGCTCTGGATCTTGCTAGTCAAGAGCTTTTGCTCAATTTATCCCTTTGCAGCTGCTCTGAAAAATGGGCAAGAAGGATAAGGGAGGAAGTCATATGGAGTGCACGCACAAGTACTCTTTGGGCACAGTGCAAGTTTCTCTGATTCTCCACAGAAGCTCTCTGAAAGGAATTACTCCATAGACAGTATGAAATTCTGAAAAGATTTTTGGGAACAACCTCAAAAAAGATATTCATGCCTACCCTTCTCTTCATTCCCAGATGAACAGCCCTCCTTGTATGAAGGCATTCAAACTTTATTTATACATGTTGTTTCAGGCCTGGACTAGTTCAGGGTTTCTCCTCTGATGTTGGATAATTACAGTGCAGGCCGTGCTTTGGCAAATTTTCCAGTTTCTCTTTCCTTATATTTGAAAGTAGGGAACACATAGGGATCCTTCATTCTATTGTCAAGACCCAGGTAGGAAACTGAACATAGGACCCCAAATAGTCCTTAAATGCCAGCACAGGATCCGGAGAACTATTGTTCATTGGTGATCAAATCCCCATCTAATGGTAGCAGTTTGATACTGTCATTGTTGCTGGTTTTGAATGTTAGTTTTAAATATAGTACAGGTTGGTTGTGCTATTTCTTGCTAGTAGGAAGTGAAAGTAAGAGGATCAGAGTTCAAGACCACCCTAGACGACATAAGATCCTATCTTAAAGCAAAACCAAGGATAATGTCAGAGTCCATGAGTTTTCAGGTGTCAAAATGTGATCATTTAAAATATTTTAATTTGAATATTAGAAGTGGTCCAATTACCTAACCATACTCTAAGGAATCAGCAGCATGACTGTTTCGTGTTGTGCTCTAAATTGTAGGATTTTCAGGCTGCGCTTGCCTCATATGTAGCCAGTACATGCATTGGCCCCTTTGCTTATTTTCCTTTCTTCTTCCTGTTGACCCTGAGCTCATGTCCTCCCCTTGCTGAGTTTCCTGCTGGAAGGCTCAAGGCTGTTATTAAGCCTTTAATGAACTGAATCCAGTCCAACAGTATGCTAAACATGCGCGCTACCACTGACCTCCACTTCCAGCCAATCTGAGGGAGCTTCTAAGAACTCTAGGCAATTGTACCTAAGACTGCAAATGTGAAAAGCTCAAAACATGGCTGCCTCTGTCCAGTCCTCTGTTGAGTGCACCAGAGGACAAGATGCTGAAGGAGGGTGGGAGAGAAGAGGAATGTGATCTCAAAGACCACAATTTAGGTCTCAGCACCATGACCTCTGGGAACTGTAGGCAAGGAGGCGCACTGAAGAAACCGCTGACATGATGGCTCCATAATATGGTCAATACTTTTACTGCAGATACGAGATAACTGCGAGAGGCATCTAGAAGACTCCAGAGCAGAAAGAAGTAGACTGACCAGTGTCAGCACATAGGACGTGGGCAGGGCTAGGGAGGAGGAGAGAATAGTGGAGGGAGGGAGATGGCAAGAGATGCAGAGCAGAGTAGAGCATAGCGAGAAAGAATAATGAGAGACAGATACAGGAGAGGAGAGGAGGGAGAGAGGAAAAAAGAGAGCAGAGAATAGCAGGATTATGGATGAGTAGCTAGCGGAGTCCTTTCTCAGAGGGAAGGGAAATGACTCCTTTTGGGAGGTGGGAATGAGTTTCACTATTTCCTAAAGAATGCTGGCTTATAGCTAACAACCAGAAATCCTCTTATACGCCAGGTTGAACTTGTGTCTGGATATTTGAACTGCCTATTGGAGTTTGGAGTTCCTTTGGTTCTGACACAAACTTATTTATGTTTATCTCATTCACAAAATGAGATAGCACCTGCTTCACAGAACTACTGCTAGAATTAAATAAAATATGCAAATATGCAAAATGATTATTGTGTGTGTGCCATGCACATGGCTCTGCATTAAGAAAGCAGTTCCTATAAACAGTTTCCTACCTGGGGAATGAGATTTCTAGACACACAAAAAGGAATGAGAATGTCAGGCAGAGACAGTCAAATGAGAATTACAAATGTTGATGTTGCTGCTATAGTTATGGGAAGAAAGGGAGTTGACAGTTGAGGTTTGTGAAGAGATAAAGCCATTCTGTGTTTACTTCAGGTCCTGTTGGTGAATCTTTGTGAAGGAACCTTCTTATTGTCGGTAAGTGTTTGTGCTGATGGCACCTGCTGGCACAGACTTGCCACCAACATCTTTTGAGTCTCATGATGTCCCACTGATCAACAGACACACTGAGAATGAACTTGTGCTATCTTCCCCTCGTAAGGCCACAGGCAAGGACCCAGATGCCTTACTGACTGATGCAATATGCCAGTGTCTTTTGAACAAGCAATATACACTTGTGGGGAACCTTGCTCATGCTTGAATTCAAACGGGAGGCAACAAAATGACTTCTGTTCCTCTCTGTGGAGCTGTGGTTTGGGGTGGAGTAGAGCAAGAACTCAGGGCACGCCTCACATTCTCCTGGACCCCTTCCTGATCTCCTGACCAGAGTCCTTGACCTTGACCTAGCTCTGTTCCCTTCTAGGTTGGTGATGAAAAAGACATCCTACCGCCAAAACTGCAAGAAGACATCTTGGGCTCCCTTGGTCAGGGGATAAATGAGTTCAAGAGTAAGTTCCCGGCTCTTCTTTTACTTTAGGCTTTCCCAGGGAGCTTGAGGGAAGGATTCCCAATTTGTCTACTAAAATAAACCCATTTACTAGCTTGTGTCAGGGGACTAGACTCTGAATATGAAACTTTGCTTCTTTTCATAGGAAATGGTAGAGAATCTATATCCAGTTCCTAGTTTCATTTTTTTTTATTTTTATTTATTTATTTTTTTGTCTTGTGAGACATGGTCTCAAACTTATGGCAATCCTCCTGTCCTAGACTTCTGGAAGTTGGTATTGTAGCTGTAAGCCATTCACATCTCAGGCTTCCTTTCATTTACTCAGTTGCTTCCCCTGGGAACTTCTGGCCAACAATAGAAACCATAATTAGAGGTGAATTTGGGTAATTTAATCTTCTGTTGCTCTATAATGGGTCTTTCTGTCTCCTGCAGCTTCAGAACAAATCAATGAGCATGTTTCAGGCCCTTTTGTGCAGTTCTTTGTCAAGACTGTGGGCCACTATGCGTCCTATATCAAACGGGAAGCCAGTGGGCAAGGCCACTTCCAAGAACGATCCTTCTGTAAAGCCATCACCTCCAAGACCAAGCGCCGATTTGTGAAGAAGTTTGTGAAGACACAGCTTTTTTCCCTGTTCATCCAGGAAGCAGAGAAGAGCAGGAACCCTCCTGCAGGTATACACAGCTACACCAACTTCTCTAGAAGTGTCTCCCTTAAGGAGTACCTTTATTGGCACATACCTTTAATCCCAGCAGTCGTGAGACAGAGATGGGTGAATCTCTGTTGAGTTCAAGTGACTGCCAGGAAAGCTCCAAACCTACAGAAAAATCCTGTCTCAGAAAAGAAACCAAAAAACAGACAGAGGCATCTCTTCAGTGGCAGGCAGAGCAGTGGGGGTCAATGGGCTCAATGGAAGTTACCAGAGAAACTGCTTCAGGGGCAGGCAGTTTGTACAGAGATGTCTGTTCATCACTCAGCAGCCTGAGCCCTCTTTCGTTTTATACTGGAGCTAACTACTATTTGTGGATTCCCCTTCGGGTCAGATTAAATGTGGTGAGTGCCTAGAGATTCTGGCAGCTTATGGGTAGGGGAGAATGTGGGGTCTTTCTGTTTTTTTGAGTCACAGTCTCATTATGTAGCCTCAGTTTCCCAATAGCTAGGATTGTAGACATGTAATTCCACAGATCAGACTTCAGGCCCGTTGAGAGTACTTACTCCTGAGCTCATCAGTTTGCCTAACTAACACCTGTTTGAACTCACAGGCTATTTCCAAAAGAAAATACTTGAATACGAGGAACAGAAGAAGCAGAAGAAAGCAAAAGAAAAGACTGTGAAGTAAAAGCTGTGGTGAGCAAGTGTCTAGAGCTACAGGCCAATTTGGACTTTGGCCCTTCTGGTGTGACAGGATCAGCCCTGGAATCCACGGCCTCCTTCCAACTGGTAACCCAGTCTTGCTTCAAAGTGGTGTCTGAGTTTGGAATCCTTGGTGTCAGAATTCCTCAGAACTTTGAGAGCTCTCATCCCATCTGAACTCATTGAACTGTACTCAAAGCTGCACCTTTAGCAGAATGGACACAGTAGGAAACAGCAGTACAGCTGCAGGTGTTTGACTAGAAGTCGCCACCAATGCCATCTTCTGGGAACCACCGTTATAAAATCCTCAGCGGAGAACACTGTTGTGGCCCAACGACACATGTACAAAATTGTCGTGACGTGAGGATGAGAATAAAGATAAAAACCTTGTTGTTTGTCCATCTAGGAGGCACCGCATCGGAGAACAAACTGAACTAGACGTGGAGGAGGACCTGGTCACACTAGGCTATTTGGAATCACAAAAATCAGGGGTCAGCAGCTCTACTTCTAGTAAGAAGAGAAAGAAATCTTGATCAGAGTGGCCACAGCATAGTAGTCTTTGGTACTAGTCTGGTGTGCTTCCCAGTATCTTGGGCAGAAACGGGTAGCAGGAAGAAGGCAGCTTTGGCCTCAGTTGACAGAAGCCCTTCAAAGCTGTCTCATGACTTTGCTAACAAGGCCAGCCTGCCCATAGCCCAGTTAGGGTTAGTCCTTTACCTTCAATCTTAGGGTTTAGGGTTAGTCCTTTCCCTTCAATCTTAGGGTTAGGGTTAGTCCTTTCCCTTCAATCTTAGGGTTAGGGTTAGTCCTTTCCCTTCAATCTTAGGGTTAGGGTTAGTCCTTTACCTTCAATCTTAGGGTTAGGGTTAGTCCTTTACCTTCAATCTTAGGGTTAGGGTTAGTCCTTTACCTTCAATCTTAGGGTTAGGGTTAGTCCTTTACCTTCAATCTTAGGCATCTCACCTCAACCACTTATTAAGGTTCCAGTTCCATTCTCCAGCTCAAGGTGAAAAGATCTCTGCATTGGCATTCCCCCCTTTGCAATCCAAAGTATTGACAAGTTATCTGGGCCCTTCTTTTTCTATACCTCCACTCAAGTTTCTGTTTAAACCTACAAGAGAAACATCTTGTCTTCTAGAATTCTTTGAAATGTTTCACTCTGTATTTTCTTATTGTAGCCTTTAGAAATTTCTGAATTCCATACAAAGAATGCAAATGAGGTGGGGGTGTAACAAGAAGCAGAGGGACAAAATGGAAGTTGAAAGGATACACTCTGATTTGATGAACACAACTCCTGCTGCCGGTGGCAGATGTCCACGTGCCATACCTAACTGTAGTTTTGCAGTTTCTAGGAATCATTATATCTTTACAGATATATAGAAGTGGTTGCTAAACCTAGTTAGATCTTGAAAAGTTTCAAAACCCAAGAACCAGAATGCTGTTAAGGCTGTGAAAATACTAAGGCTCCAATATAAGTCTACCAAATTCTCTATAGTGATTGGACCTGGACTGCGGTAAAGTGGCACAGCCTATAATCCCAGCATTCAGGAAGCTAAGCAAGGAGAACTGAGAGTTCAAGACCAGCTCGAGTTACTGAGGGACTTTATCGAAAACCCACTCCCCCAAAAGTCCTGGGAATATGTTTTCTAAAAGCATCCACATTGTTGAATGATTCTCATACTCTAGTAGGTAAATGAACACAACAACCCGGGTTGGGTGAGGCTCTGTACAAACCAATCATTGGCTGATGTTGCTGATGTTATCTAGGGCCAAAGGAAACATAAACATGACTGCTTTTCAGATTCTCTCCATGGCGAGGAAAAAAAAAATTAATACATGTATTTATTTCAATTATCCTTAAGTACCTCTGTTTATAGCTTTGGTAACGCTAGTTAGAATTCAGAAGACAGCCCAGATTCCATCTGGAGTACAGCAATAATGTGTGATAACTGGTATTTCCTTTAGTCTTTCCAGGGCTTAATTTTCACTAGGTATAAACAATTGTTGAATGTCTGCTGAAATAGTCAAATAAAACGAGATGCAACTGTACTAATGGAGGATTGCCTGCCTTCCCCCCCCCCGCCTTCTTAGATTATCTTTACATCCCAGTCCTCCCTCCACCCTGATTTTCCACATCTTGTGTAGCTCAGACTGTCCTAAAACTCCATAGTAAAGGACAACTTGAATTTCTGATCCTCCCGCTTCCACCTCTGAATGCTGGGATTCACTACCCTTTGTACTTCTTTATAGTAAAGAAACATCTGGATACAACAAAAACAAATGTGATTCACATAGAACATTCAAACAGTAGTCTAAATACCAAAAAGGAAAAGGCAAAGTCCACCACCACCCCATTTCTGGGCAATGACTGAAACGTGGGAGTAATGACTGCAATAGAAAGAACCTACAGGAGAGAAAATGAACAAAATATGTTTCCTTTATAAAAGATTTAACAGTTTCTACAATAGAATGGTCAAAAGCACATCATGACAACACAGCCGACCATATTGCCTTAATTGTTAAGAACAGAAATAAAATTTGTCTCAATTAAAAAAAATGACATTTAATATTTAGTTTACCTTTCTCCTGAATAAAAATGAGAAAACAGGCTGGCTCTGAGATCATATATTTATTTAAAAAAATAAAATGGATTGACAAAGTTACCACATTATATGCATGCTAGCCAAGATTTCCCAAGCCCGTGAGAAACACCATTTCTTGATCAATAATAAAATCACTTCCTCAACAATATACAGACAGGAACCCTTGCCATCCAAATTTAAGGTCTTTATGACTGCTCTCACCTCACAAGCTAGTAGGTTGTAAATGTCACAAGCCGAGTTCCTTACAAAAGAAAGTCTGAGAAGACAATAAACAAGATGTTACTAAAAGATGACGATTTGTTAAAATTATAAAGCAACCATCGTTTGGCCTGTAAAAATTTTACATTAGAATCACCACCACTGGGAATACGCTCCTCCGACTGATAGTCTGAAGTCAGGAAAATCACAGCACATGGCATTTTCCCTGCATGCTTTCTGGAGCCAAACCCTGTCTGACAACATGTTGACTTTACAGGATGGGACCTGACATTCCCATTCTTAACAGGACAGTTAGGGAGTGTTACCAGTGACAAAGAATGAAAGTTATATAACATTGATTATTATAAATTACATTTGTTCTTCTTATCCACCCCCATTCTCCTTAACATGTTCGGATTCTTTCCTGCAGAAAACATGAGCTTAACAGAACCCCAGTCACATCGTTAGTGATGATTAGTGTGAGCTGCAGAGGCTTTAATTCTGAAGACATGTATATGCAGGTGAGATGCAATCTGATTGCAAACACTGACACAGTAACGAATCAAATCAAAGAAAGAGAAGACCTAAAAAGAGAAGAGATATTTGATTAGACTCTCAACATGTGCACAGACCTCCCTAACTTCCTGAGAGGATAGAAGGGTGGCTTCTGACTCTCTTCTCCCCAAATTCATCTTCGAATTCATACAGTTGAGTAATAGTTGCCTCTTGGTGTCCTTTAGAACTAAGGATTAACAAATCTTTCCTTAGAGAGATGGTAAATATGTTAAACTTTGTATTATTTATTTTTTGAGACAGAAGCTCCCACAGCCTAGGCTAGCCTCAAACTAAGTATGTAGCTAAAAAAGATCTTCAGCTTCCAATCCTCTGGCTTCCAATTCCCAAGTGCTGGGCTCACAGGCAATGCCACCATGCCTGATTTTTTAAATATGGTGCTGGGGGGCAAATGCAAGGCTTCATGCATGCTAGGCAAGAACTTGACCCCTAAGCTATATACTCAACAAAATTATTTCACATTTTCTGAGTTGTACTCTCTCTCACAATTGCTCAACTCTGCCAGTATAGAATGAAAGCAGGCACAAACAATTTATAAACGAGTCGCTATGCCTGAATATAGTCTAAACTTCTGGTATACAAACAATCAGAAGTTTGGAATTGTTGAGTCTTCACATAGGCAGGAATAGTAAGCCTAACAAACATGCAGGCTAACATTGAAGTCATAAAGAACTCTTAACACATTACAAAGGACTGGCTCACTCAAACAAGAAAACAAGTAGCTTCAAGCCACAAAATAAGACCATATAATACCTACCAGGGCAATCCAAAGTACAATATATTCATCAATGAAGCTGTTAAAATACTGGTCCAGAAACAAAAGTGCTGGACCTATGAATGCTGTGTCGTGCAGATGCATCTCACTTTTCGTCATGTGTGCAACCTGGGAAAACAAAGTCAATGACATAGGCACTTTCATTTCGGAATTGTCAGCAACACAGGAAATCAGTATAGTGCTCAAAGACGAAGTTTCAAGAATGATATTCAAGAATGTTGAGCTTGTAAAACTACAAAAAGAAAATCCCAACAACATTAAAGTTGTATGAGAAAGGGAAAAGCAATGCCAACCATGCTGGAGGAAAACACTTGTACAAAAGGCAAAGGGGTCTCAATGTGTGTCCAGGATGACACTGAAGAATGCACACAAACCGGCTGACCAAATTAAAAACTGGACAAGATAGTGAAAGGATATAGAACTTTAAAGAACGTCAGGCAAACTCAAAATGTAGTCAGGAGAGTGAACACAGCTATTCTTTGATGTAAAGTGATTTTTACTGCAAACTCTTAAAACTACTCAGGAAGCCACAAAATGAAATACAGGCCCACAAAACCAAAATAACATGAACATTAAAACAGTAAAAACTGAGGTGCTTACCACAAGCTTATTAGTGATTTTAGCTGACACAAAACCAAATGTCAGTATATAAAGACATGGGTGCTTTTCAAAGAGCTGAACTGCTGACTTCTTGTAGATCATAACAGCTAAGGTGATCACCGATCCAATATGGAGAAAAGGAGAAAGGACACTTGTTCCCTGTACAGAGCGGAGTTACAAACATTTAATGCTGTCAGATGCTTCATGGACCTACCACAAACACTTTAACCCAACCTTCCCAGAACCTCCCGGTATCTGCCCGCTAACAACCACAATAAGTTGGACTCAGGACTAGTGAGAAGCCGCTGCATGAGGTGTGGTAAAGCTCAAACAGCACTGTGCTTGGTGGGTGTCACTTCTTTTTATACAGCATGTCATATTTTCCAAAACCATGGGTGCTGTGTCCAGATACATGAACGCTTATCAGGATACAGAAGTATGTATAAATATTTATTTCAAAGGCTTAAAAGTTCCAAGTTGACAAATGATTATATATCATTTAAATGAAAACCAAAGTAAAGTAATAGAACAAGTCTTAGTTTGCAACTCTCTGAAAATCTCAAAGTATACTCACTGCTATGGTTGATCCATTTTTGCCAACACCACCTGTGAAGATTACACGGAAGTAATTTGTACAGGAAA